TTCCCCTTGTGCTCCTAACATTTTGGCTTGTGTTTAACCAGCCCCTCAGCTGGTAAGTGGACAGAGTAAGTTCCCCACGGCTGCTCAAGTGATAACGCCATACAAATAATTAAGAATACACATGGCAATATTCAAACGCAGCTCTGCTTTCACTATACAAATCATTTTCAGTAAAGGGACAAGCACAGCCCTTTTTCATGCAAAGCCTGAATAAATGAGCTTTGTGTAGGAAATTCAGAAGAGACTTGAAGGGAAATAAATTCTGCAGTTAATCATTCATCTTGGAGTGGAGCGACTGCTGAGCAGCTCTGCCGCCCATTATAAAGCCTTTCAGTTGTCGTAATTACTACATGGTGTTAGTCCCATGAGTCTGTACAGCTCTACTTTTGCTGGTCATGTCCCTGGCTTGCACCGTTGGTCTGAATTTTCCCTTAGACATGAAGAAAGGCACCAAGGATTATCACACTACAGCACGTATGAATACCCTGTCCATATCCCAGTTTGTACCTCTTCCTTTTCTCTCTTTTCTCACAGCTAGCTGTGTTCAACACCTGGCGAGACATTTCCCTTCAGGATATTATCATAAACAAGCAAAGATTGGCTACAGAAACTGTGTGCATGATAAGAACACTATACAAGTGAATATTACCTCAGCAACATGAACTTAATTGTTTTGATAACATTGGAAAGGTTATTTCTCCACTTTTGAAGACACAAGCTCAGTATATTTTTAAAAGGCAAAACTTACACCCATAACCAGAAAGCTTTGGTCTGCTCTTCAATACAGTATATAAAAGGTTTATGGATTTCATCAAAACTGATTAGTTTACTGTCTAGACCACAGATTATTTTTCATAAGATTTCTTGTCATATCTGTGAGCCATTCTTGTAATGATGGATGAGACTGGTGCCTTAAAATCATCATTTTCTCTGTCAGCAGGGAAACCCACTGAACCTTGTCAGATGGAATATCACCTCATCCCCTGTAGCCTTATATTATAAGGGCATAATCCATTCTCACAGGGGTATAGAAGAGTCCAGGACTGAACCTACACATAACTAAAGGATTGTTATTTGAGGGAAGAATATGAATTATGCAGTTATTACAGGAGTTTTAAACTTTTGCTTGGATAAGCTGAAATTGCTACTGAACCATTGTACCAACCTCAGGCTTTGACATTCAAATCAAAGCCCGGTGATTTTGGCCCTTCTGAGGAATGGCGTTCCTAGAAAAAATGTCTGTCATTGTTAGTTTTATTCTCTCATAAAATGAGAAGTATGGATCATGTAAAGGTGTAAGTGTCAAGTAAAATCTACGCTCAGTTTGCAGAGAAGCAGAATTGTATACCTCCTGTAATTTCAGGCCAAATGTTAGAGCCTAGTATGCCATACAGTCAATTCAACACACACAAATAAATCACAGTTTATATATGTATGGCCCTTGAAACACATTTTTCTGCAGTTATAGAGAGACAAGTAGTCCAACTGTACATGAGGTGGTAAAATCAACTATATGCAATCATTCTCTTCTGCAGCAGAATTAAAGACACTTAGCAGTAATGGACTAGGCAGAACTACCTCTGCCAAAGGTATCAACAATTTTCACTTTTACCATTTATCACTTAGAAAAATCTACTTGCTGCTTCTATATTCCTCTATATGATTTCAGAGAGATAAATTAAATATGCTGCTTCACATTTCATTTTTAAGAGTTAATTGCTGCATAAATACATAGCATAAAGAAAAGCACAGGCATTTTTATAAAACTAGAATGATTCTGAAATATTCAGTTGCCTCTCTATATTTGCAATTCTTATGCAGCTGATAGATCTGAAACACCTACTCTGAAGTGACTCTTGCTAAAGGAAAGGAAAGTTAAATTTGCCTAGAGAGGGTCTGCAGCAGAAGTTTAAACTCCTCATCACTTTGAAGGCAATAGAACTGACGTTTATTGCTGTGCCATGCTGAACTACAGCCCCACCTCTGGATAACTAAAGACTATGTGGCAGATGGATGCTTTAAGAGCCTTCCCCAGAGCCTTCCAGTGCATATTGTGTTGTCTGTTTAGATGATAAACTCCTAGAAAGGCCTGGACTGGTACATTTTTTTGTGTTTTGTGCAGCTCTACTATTTATGGTGTTTAAAATGATCGTCACGATTAATCCATAGATAAACCACCCTAAGGAAGCCAATGTCGCCTGCTCTGCAAGAGCAGGGCCTCAAATGTGGCATAAATACCATTTGCTCCCTGTTATTTACAGTGCCTATTATGGTGCCCCAGGGAGCCATGCGTCCAATGCCTAATTCATGGGTCACGAAGGGGAGATGAGCGCCGACTTTATTGGACTGTGAATTAGGCCACTGATACGTAACACCCCCAAAGCCTGCAGGCTGACGTTATATATGTGTGTATATATACACTTCTGTGCCTCCCGCAACATCTACCTGTGCTATCAGGCCCCGCTGATCCAGTTAGTGAACTACTTGGCAACCACGTGACCAAAACTACCTGCAGAATCAGCCGGGGCGCTGGACTTCGCAATAGCACTGAACGTCCATCAACGTGCTGCTTCCATTCCAGTTATCAACCCCCTTTGTGTATTCAAAATAAAACTGGCCCCTTTCTGTCATGTCATACAATTGTAGAGTAGTGTGTCATGAGTCATCAGATGACACCACATCAATGTGATTTTCCCTGTCTACTGCTTTCACAATAATTGAAGCAATAGTGACTACCAATGGAAAAAAAACCACAAAAATCATGACTAATATCGAGGTCATTGCTGGCAGAAAGATTAAATTTACTTTCAGTATGCCATTCTTGTTTTTCTACTTAATTTGATGGTACAAAAGGACATTTAATGATACAGAGCCACTGTGCGTATCAAGCCACATGTGCTTGTGGGCAATGCACCAACAAATTGCATGGTCATTGTTGTAACAATCTAAACACTAATTTATAGCTAAGCCGCAAGACTTTAGTATAAATTGGTGGACGGTATTTGAAAGGTGAATGGCAAAGCCAAATTTCACTGTTGGCTAAATGTATTCGGTTCCTGTTCTTTGGTATTTATACTTATGTCACATGACTTTCAAATAATATTAACTGGAAAGCAGCAAACTAGCTCCATCATCTAACTGGCTGGAGTAAACATTCCATTTGTAAAGCCTTCTTTCGGCAGGGTTCTCCTTCCCATTTGTGGTGAAAAGGACATGGAAGTACGTAGAAAATCAAATCTGAAAAGGGCAGAACAGGACAAAGACTTGCCAAAGGAGATATATATTATATGCATTGAACTGCCTGTTAGGACAGTAAATTCCTGGCAGGGCACATGCTGATATCTTTTTCTATGCACTCTCTAGCACTAAATCATACTTCCAGTGTTTAGAAATTATAATTGTGATACAATCTGTAGACAAAATCTCCTAAGAAACCCAGTGTAATTGCCCTGTTGGTGCAGAACACTACCCTTCCACTTATCTCAAGATGCAGTTTGAATTCTGAATTCATGTCATACAAAAATAAAAGTAAGTTTAATTCTCATCCCTGATGCTCCACCTTACAAAATACTTACACACCCAGTAGCTGTTACTCATGAAATACAGCAGCAGTTATTACAATCAATACTGAGTATCGAGCAAACCTATTTGAAAAAGTCTGCAATACTTAAAAGGCTTAACATTTCTATTTTAATCAACCAAAAAAACTAATAATCTCTGGTTTTCTGAGTAGTAAAATCCAGTCACATTATACTACAGGTATATATACAATTGCACAAAAGAAATTTCCAAGTGAATGAGGGAGAATCCCTCTCATACTGCACTGAACTCTGAGTCATGAACACTTCAAACAGTCCACATTCACTTGTTTTATCTCTTTCTCACAAAAGAACTAATTTCAGACCAGAACTTAAACAGATGCCTAATACCCTGCTAGGTTGTTCCAATACAGCCAGAAAAACAACAATTTACTCTGTGTCATGTTTGAGTTCCATAATATTCATGTTCTAAAAAAGGATAATGCACTTCTAAACATTTCCCAATGAACATAACTATATTTTTAGGCCTTCCTCAGCAGGAATATTCTATACGATCCAGACGTGTCAAGCAAAATTTAGTATTAAATTTTACCTCTTACTGATTTATATCTACTGGACAAGCACAGAGTACCTGAGATTGACAGTGTACCCTCTTTAATGAACAGAAGAACACAGGAGCTTCTAAGGCTAAACTGCAATTCTCTTAGCAACAGCTCTATATCCTTGGCCTTAAAATATGATGCAAAATCTGCTGCAAACAATATGATGAGGATTACCCAGCATCAGCCAGGAATGTCAGCTTGTCTCTGGGATGAAGGAAGTGTGTGGAGTCAGCTGGGAGCAGGAACAGAACAATTTAAGTGGAAAAAGGGTAGGGGCAGAGATGCGTAAGTGCCTGCTGATTTCTGCCAATGTAACAATCCCCTTAGGACCAGTTCAGCTGGCTTCAAAACTGGAACAGCTGGAACCCCCTGCCTTGTACAGAGGTCCAGTTCAGCTCTTGACTGCTTCCTGAGTTAAGTGAGGTATATACCCGACACACAGTTACATCTGCATACTCAATGTATGAGCATGGAGAGGTCCACTCGAAATAATTACTTAAAAAATAAGTATCAGACCTTCCGACCACATTCCAAATTTCTTCATGGAGTATGACAAAATCAAAAGAAAAGGAGAGGAAACAGATGTGTAACTTAAGAGGTAGTCACAGAGGGAACTGTCAGGATGAAAATGGGCACATTAAAAGCTTTATCTTATTGTTCTGTTACTCTAATGATTTTTTTCAATTCTTTTAACTAGCTTCATCTTTACTGCAGTTCAAATGGAAGGGTCACCACATGCTGTTGATACCAAGCAAAGCCCAGAGATTTCTGAAGAGCCATCTTGATAAAAATGCACACATGAAGCACTTACTTAAACAACTAAACCTCTTGAAAGATATTCATTGAGAAATGTAAGTACCTGTTGTCTCCAAGCGCAGAATCCTTGGGTTTAGCATCACTATCATAAACAAAACGTTCTTGGAAGATCACTATGACATTGTCCGTAGTTTCATTTCCCAAGATAGTGATAACAGGATAACCCATCTGTAGTGTCCACTGATCCATTACTTCTTGGATATTTACAGACTTTCCTACCCTTTTTAAAGCCTTCAAGAAAAAAGAAAAGTTTCAATATGTTGAAGGAATATAATCATCCAGCATACAAAATCCTTTTTTTTTGTCCCAGAGACCATAATTAATTTTAGAGGTTTAAATAATCATCACACATGCACACTTACACCCAGTACACACACCCCAAATAATTTAAGTAACAGTCTCTGTCTATCTTAAAAATAAATGTTGAGCAATCTTGCCAGAGAGGAGGGTGATAGTCAGAAAGTCACGCTTCCCACATCATTCAGGCACTTTTGCTGTAACAGAAGAAACAACTCGCTTTACAGGGTTTTAATAAGAGCCACAGAAATACTTGGTGGCTGTTTCCAAAAGATATTCTTGACCGGCTAAGGTTAAAAAGAACTCAGTGTTAGTTGATCTAGGGTACCTACAATAAATAAAGCATATTCAAAGGGCCTGATCTCAAAAAGTACAGAGCTTCTCTGTTCTGAAAATCAAATGACTATTTATTTGAAAATAATGTCCTTCATGTCCAAAGTGAGGTCCTATATAAAAAGATATCCCCAGCTCCTTCATAAACTGCACCTGTCATAACACATGGAGGATTAATGTGTTCATATTTGATACCGTATGTCAATAAAAATGCTGTTTTACAGGTGCGTTTTCATCTGAAACAAAAAGAGATACTATGGCATCAACGGAGATGAGACTGGGTATGAGGAGAATGACAAGCACCATTTGCTCTTCAGCAACAGAGATGTCCCTAGCTGCCAAGCAGTCCTAGATCACAGGCTGAGCAACCTCTGATGAATACAAGCAGAACCCAGCACGACGTCTTCACAATTGAAGTTGCAATTGCAATGAATTAGGAACAAAGCGGCTGGCAACAAACATGATTACAGGTGAGGCAAACAGAATTATTAGCCTTAACAATGACTTGAGCATACAGTATAGCTGTAGTGGTTATGAACCAGAATACAGTCTCATTTTTGTTCTATTTTATTAGCTGTGGGTTCTGCTGTTCTTTCAAGATTACACTCATCCCTCTGATCTCTCATCACTCAGAACTTTAATAGAGGAAAACACAAGTGAGAAGCGAGAAAGACTTTTGCAGTGGCATTCAACTTCAGATTAAGATATGGATTTGAACCTGACTGTATGTCACACATCTCAACTCTCATGAACAGTCAGTACAGACATATGACTCAGTTCAGCTGCCCACACACAGGTTGCTAATGTCATTTGACCTTGACTTGCCACTCCAGAAGGGTACAGATTTCCTCAGAGATCTTGCCTGAAATTGATTAGACACACCTGAATGTCTTGAACACCCTACTGCTCCTAATCTGGCACTAGTGGCCTCTATCTGAACAATTATCTCAAGTCCCTGGTCAACAGTTAGTGGTTTGGGCTCCTTTTAAAATAATCATGTAGTGGCTAGTCAACTGACTTGCTCTCTATGCTCTGCTGGCTGTATTAACTAGATCTCTGGGTTTCCAGTTGTTCCTATTCACCAAGTATCAAATAAGATGTCCCAAAATATTCAACACATCCTTGCAGAAATGGTGGACCTACAGCAGTCCCTACACTCATCTCACGTGGCAGCTGGAAGCCAGGTAGGACAAACTAAGTTAAATGTTGTGAGATGTCTATCTAACATAACAGGCAACTGAATCCAGTCCTCATTGACAACAACTGGAGTTTGGACACCTAGCTTATATGTATATACCTGCTTGTGTAGGTAAATGCAGATGTCTTGACCTCCAGCTGAATCCTAGCTTTGGTGAACTACCATGTTCACACATGGCTTGAGTTTGTTCTTGTGCCCAAACCCCCTGACTGTACTCTGCATTGGCTCGCACTCTGTCTTTATTCTGGAGTGCCCAGACTAGCTCTGCAGGAGAGAAACTCTGGTATGCCTGGCTCACTTTATGAAAATTAAACTCTGGAGAGCTTGGGCACAGCAACGAAAGGGAACATGGGCATAGCAAATATAAGTCTCTACAGCATGCCAAATATTTCAGTAAATAGTTACCTGTTTACACCAAGCATTAAAGCTTTAATAGTTTTGTCCTGCACACAAATCATAACTCCATACAAAATCACAAACACACGTGCTGTACATGGCAAAGCTCAGCACTTTCATGTGCTTTCCAGCTTATAGGCCTCAGCGTGGTGTCACTAAAGTCAACGACAGCAGATTCCATGAATTCCATCTTTTACTGCACATCAGTGACATAGCACAAGCAAGGAAATATATTCTAACATAATAAAGAATAGAAATGCTGTAAAAACCATATTTTGATGTTGCCACTAGGTTAACTCAAATGGAATTTCTTTGCATCAATTTTTATATTTGCTTTGAGGGTCTGAAGATCTCAATATGCACTATTACCCCTCCAAGAAAAACACCACAGTAAATTCCTGCTTCTCCCTCAGTGCAATAGATTAAAGCATTTTACCTTTGACAATGTGTTCCAGAGATCATTTCTGGCTGCATTGCCATACTTGTGAATGGTTAAATAGTCCTACAGAAATAGAATAAAAATACAAATCAGTATTACTATATACAAGCCAAACAGCTAGAGCTGTGAATCACTGCTATTAGAAGTTAAATCACATCAATGTTTGCATTTGTCAGAAATCTAGATATATACAATATGTTCATCCTAAGGGAGTAAATAAACAGTTTCTTAACCTAGTTTACAATGCAAAAGTTGTTGCTAAAAATTTAATTTACAGCATTCAATGTTCTTCCTTTTCTGTGTAAGTCACCATAAGCTAAGTATTTTGAATATACATTTAAAATACTTGTCTAATCTGCTAAGGGGTTCCTAGGAAATTCTTGACAATGAAAGGAGACACTGATAAAGCACAGTTCCAGTTGCTATTTTAGCAGGTCATTCTGCATCTAGTGTCAAAAATTTGCTCACTGGCATGACAGCTAGATTTGTTACAAAAGATTTAACTGAACAATAGCCTACCCGAACTACAAACTCTTATCTAGGGAGATCCTGGTGCTTCAATGTCAAAATGCATCATATTGGCAACTGGGGCTATAACAGGTTGTCACAAAGGCTCTCCATGACAGGGAGTGGTGGAAGAGGGGTGATGGGAACCCAAGTCCATGCTGGTGCACAGGAGCTTTCACGACATACATGGCTCAGAGTCTAAGGAGGTTAAAACAGAATGCTTTTACTTATTCAGCTGCAGTTTCAATGACTGAAGGTCCCTTCCTCTCCCATAGCAACCAGAAAGATAATTCCTGATAAGCTACCATCATATTAAATTACCTTCCCAAATTAATAGTTTAAGTACATGACCAGGTTAGGTCTGGGACTTTCAGGGATAAAACGTTTCCAATTTAAATGACATCTGGAGAGACAACACTGTTAGTTTCCCACCATCCTATATCCCTAGACAACAGTTCATTCAATTACAGACGTGAATGTCAGCAATAACATACATTTCAAGCATTTTGATTGGAAGAATTAAGTGTGAAAACACATCAGAGGTTGTAAATCAATGGGTTCTCCTGCATTTGAATATCTGCCATCTTCACTTTACACAATGGTAGGAGATAAACCCTAATTTACAGCACAAGTGAAGTAAAACTGGGACAAATTTGCTGACTCTGTTATCTGTGCTTTGTGTGAAGTAAGACACTTTGGAAATAATTAGTATTTGGAAAGCAAATTTTCTGATACACAAACTGTAGCACCTGTGACAGATTTAGTTTTTGTCAGCCAACTCATAGTACAAAAAGAAGCAACTCCCATTTAATCACAGGCTAGAAAGGCTAAATGAGAACACTGACTCTGTAGATGCAGTGCTGAGTCTTAACAATGTCATGAGAGTATCTTGGAAAAAAGACAATATTATATAGGCCGCACCTATAGCACATTGTGCTTCCATTTTGTCTGGAAATACAGAATCATTTAAGGCACAGGGAAATATTCAATAGCTTTCGAAGCTAAAGAAGCTGAATTGCAAATTAGAAAGCTAAACTATCAATAAACAAAAGTGGGAGGAGGTAAATAAATAACAACAAATATACATGTGCATTCTAAGCAGTACTAGAAAATGTTGCCCCTATTGGTCCTTCTGAGAGTTCCTTTCAGAATCGCTACACACCAAAATAAAATGGGTGGAACACTTGAGGATTTACTCTGTCCAGGCAATAATCCTGTTTATCAATCTGCCATTAGACATTAAATTTGACTTTTACATTTATTGTCCAGAAAGACTGCAAAGGAATTAAATGCTTCTGTCCTTTTCATTATTTTTTTTCTCCCAGTACACAGATTGTGAGGTTTAGATGTAGCTTGTCACTCAGCTAAAAATTTATTATCCTCCTCTCTAACATGTTTATCACTCAAAGGATAACCAAAGGAATCCTAATATTTACAATGAAATGAGAAAATACAATGGTAAACACAACATTTGAGTACAGACTTGGTATTGTACAATTTGATCACCCATTTTTTCATTATTTCATGGAAGCTACATTGAGATACACAGCATCAAACTAGGAGTGTTACAGAATGCATACTACAGGAAAAGCAGTCCTAAGTGACAGTGTGCATCAAAGTATGCTTCCAATAGTAAATCTACATTGCAATCCAAAATCTGAGTGTACTTTCTACATGCACAAAAGGTTACTGAACCAGGTCCCATCAAACGTCCTCATATATCAGCATGCTGTTTTAAACAATAACCAGCAGCAGACAATGAGAAAGCATCTAAAACAGGACAAGCAGACAGTGATGCTTCCCCAGTATGCTCTCCCATCATCCAGCACTTTATGGCAAAAGGAATCCTGAGCAGATTAATATCTTTAATGTATTTCATAGTTATCGTCTGTGTATTTGGCCAGTTGTTTTCTGAACCCATATAAATGTCTAGCATTTGCAACACCTTACAAAAAAGTACTTCCCACTTCAGTGACTGGTTGTGTGAAGATACCTGTTCCAAACATCTGCACGCCTGCTGGCTTCATCTGCTGCTCCTTACTTCTGGCACTTGGAGGCACAGTTCCCTACTCCACCCTCCCACCACATTCATGCCTTTACAGATCTGTATCGTATGTGCCCTCATACCAGAGCTTGATTTTATACCGAGAACACCACCGGAACCAACCACTCCCAGCTTTGCTGCAAACTTACATTTTGTTACCACCATCCAAGCTGTTGACTTCAAAGCTAGCTAGGGTTACCATGACCCAGCCTGAACTTTCATTAACAAATTATCAGCCTTTCTTGAAGTACCTTTCATGGACAGGCACTTAACTTAAAAAAGAAGAGAAAAGGCTTATACACATAAGCATCAAAACACATCCCAGGAATATTAAAATAGGAGCCAAAGATCTGTACTTACCCTGCTTGTCTGTTCTAAGGATGGAACAAGCAGGAATACAACATATGTTTCCTTCGGGGGACCTGCATCTAAGTCTTAAGTAGCTTGCAAAGGGGCGGAAGACATGTTCTCATTCACTGTAACCCTCCAGGGCAGGAGTATTAGCCACCCCTTTGCCTTTACACTGAATTGAAAAGAACCAAAGCAAACAGAAGAGAGATTCAAGCCACAGAACTGAAAAGGAGGACGACACCAAAGACACAGCTGCCTGAATCTAAGCTGTGCTCAGCACCGCGCCAAAGGATGTAAAGTGACTTAAAGCCACTTTCTCATAAACACATATGCCCAGAACCATCTGGCTGCAAGGCTGCTTCCCATCATAAACTCACAAGTCTATCACCTACAAAAGCTGTTCCATCAACTGGAGTATGCTGGAGCATGAAGACACACTTCAGCCACCTTCCTAACTTTCAGCTATAATCCTACAGTATGTGTGAGGAGAAAAGATGGCACAAAAACCTCTTTAACAACCCAAGATTCAAGAGCACTCTTCTACAACTCCCCCTTTCTCCTTCACTGTAACGTCATCTCTAAACATTTTCTTTGTCATGGGGAAAGTAGAAATAGAGTACACAGACCCTAGTGCAGTGTCACTCAACATGAAAATTAATCAAACACACACACACACTCAAATGATCATTTGGTTTTACATTTTCAGCAAGCATCCGCTTGTAATATTCTTCTTAACATTCTGGCATTAAAACATGAAGCCCCTCTTTACCAAAAAGAGTAATGTAATATGATCCCTTCACCTCTGTCAATAACAAAAAAATAATCAGAGATTATGGTTTTCTGAAATGTGTTTTGGTAATTTTTAACATCAAATAAATAAAAAAATCCAGAGTCTATCATGACATGAAAACGAAGTCCACTTACTGCACAACCAAAACCTAGGATCTTGCAAAAAAATTCCAACAGATTTAGACTATAAATGTCAAACAGTAAACTTAATCCCCCCCCAAAAAAAATTAATGCTTTTAAAATTATTTTATTACTTGAATACTAAAGCAGATAGCTTGAAGAGTAGTAGAAATAGGAGTACAGTGAAAAGTGCTAAAGGATTTTGAAAGATGTTTTTAGTAATGCTGAATTGATTAAACTTGAGGCTCTGTTATTGTATTAGACTTTTTTTAAGAAAAGAAGATTATTTTAAGGGAGAAAGTCTTTTATCCCTTTGCAGTCTTAGTTCTCTCAGTCCTGCTAGGGATTGAGCCTCTTGGTTTCAAAAAAATTAACTACCCCACCATCCAAACCTGATAACGCTCACAACTAATAAAAGGTAGTGACTGATAAATGCAAAGAGGTTAAACAAGCACAAAGGGCAAATAAGTCTCCAGACATGTATCTTACTTTCAGGGGAGACTTCAGACCTATAACCAGAAACTGAAACATCAAATCTAGGACCAAATTCCTTTCTCAGTTTATCTGTATGAAGTTGATTGGTTGGCTGAAAGAACAGCTCCCAACTTAGATGAGTGGTGCTGAGATCTGAAACAGATCAGCATTGAATAACTTACTTTTTCTTCTAAAGATAAATGGGAAATTCCACTATAGAAGATGAGTGAGGAAAAAATAGCAAAATATTTTGGCATCAAATTCTTGCAGCTACGTTCCTCTGAATGCCTTCATTTCTCAGGGCTCAGGAAACAGCAGCCTTGCCTCTACCTCCCTCTTTTGTATTTCATTCCCACTCCTGGGTGCGCATCTTCCCCGCTTCCGCCTACAGTATGTTCTTGTTGAACAGTTTTATACATGACTGCTGTATATTACCGAAGATTTAGAGCTACTAAGAAAAACATTTAGTTAAGGTGGAAATCAGGCTCCAGGGCTCCAGCTATCAAATCCAGTGTGCTTGTCTTCCCAGAAATTTGTATATTTAACCTTAAGCCACCAAACACCATCTGACAGATGCTGACTCATTGACTATAACACACCACCTTTTTCCCCCCTTTCCTTCACACTGCTAACACAAAAGCTGCTATCACATATTATCTTGACATTGCTTAAAATTCAAACAAAAAAGCTTGGGCAAGGGTCAGAGGGAGGAAGGTACTGCATATGTTTGCAATGGTGAGTGACAGAGGAAGTGAGAACCACCGGTAAAACACCACCA